TACCTACCCCCCACATCCTTGGCTCTGCTGACTTACAGAACCGACATTCTATCGAAGAAAAGACGCGCCCTTTCCAGCCCACGAGAATGCCAATTGAGACTTCTTCTATCAGAATTCGGCAATATTGGCGATGCCGAGACCACCAAGAAACTCAATTTGAGGAGTGCTTTGAGCCAGATTCGTTATAAGCTCAAGGACAGACGCACATAAGTGCCGAAAAGTTTGTCTCGTAGCTTAGTTCAAGCACTGCAGATGCAGATTGCAAGCTCTATTTTCTCTTGACAACAGCGTAACGCAGAATACATGTCAGTAAGATTTGTATAAAAGAGAAATGTCGTATCTCAGGCGATTCCTCTTTGTATATCCAATAAAGGATTAGTAACGCTGTGTTTGGTTGTAAACTCGGAAACTGCCTTCTAACCTGTAGAGGAGTCTTGACTTTTGCACATTAAATTGAAATTGGATGAAGCATCGTTATCTCTGCAGGTTTACGATTGCACAACATTTGTTCCCATTCTGAGCTGAGACCGGTCATAGATGCTACATTTGTGTGGGGTGGCTTCGGCCGTCCTCCCTTCGACGAGGATCTCTCGCATCAGCTCCAGCTGCTATCAAGAGGGTTGATGCTGGAAGGTGGAAATCGCCTCATCAGACTTTTGCAGAGGAACACTGGCATTTTTGTGCTGCAAATAGACTGGAATCAAGACATGGAACTCTTTCGGCGTTTTTTTCTGTTTAGTCTTATGAACTGCACCGAGCATCTTTTAAAGCTGGAAAGACCAGGAAAGCTTCAGAAGAAGTCTGAATCCTGCTGGACCACTTCCTCTATTCATTCGTCCTAGTTACTACACTTTTGTACTCACCTTCATTCTCTTGCATGTGGATGTGATATCGCTTTACCCTTTCGCCTCTTTTGCGTATCAGCCATTCATCGTCTCCATCAGCTTCATACAAAATGGTGGCTCCACCTATTTCAAGTCGTCTATTTCACTCTGAAATGGTTGACGCCATACAATCAGTTCTGTATATCGTCCACTA